AGGTAACTATCGGGAGGAAGTGGGAGGGGAGCTGTTGCATTGTGGTAAATTGTAGTCAATGTCATGAGACAAAGTGTATGTGAATTCTTGTATGGAAAGTGAATTTGCTCTGTAAATTTTCACCCAAATCTCAATTAAAAAAAAAAAAGGTGTTAGATTTTATCAAATGCCTTTTCTGTATCCATAAGGATGATTATATGGTTCTTTTCTTTTTTCTTACTGATATGTATTACATCAGTGTGTAGTGTAGTGTTCATTGGTTTTCTAATAATGAACCATCCCTGCATTTCTGAAATAAATCCCACTTGGTCATGGTGTAGGAGCTCTGGTGGTGTAGTGCCTAAGGCATTTGACTGCTGACCAGAAGGTTGGCAGGTCAAACCCACTAGCCACTCCTTGGAAGGAAGGTTGGACAATCTACTTCTGTAGTGATACTGCCTCGGAAACCCAAAGAGGGGTTGCTATGAATCGGATCCAACTCAATGGCAGTGAGTTTGGTTTGGTTTTAGTCATGGTGTATGACTCTTATAATATGCTTTTGGATTCTATTTGCTACTATTTCGTTGAGGACTATTGGATCTAAATTCATAAGAGATATTGCCCTGTAGTTTTCTTTTCTTGTGGTGTCCTTTTTCTGGTTTGGATATCAGGGTTATGTTTGCTTGTAGAATGAATTAGAGAGAATTCCTTCTTTATCTTTTGGAAGAGTTTAAACAGTATTGGTGAGTTTGGTTTTGGTTTTGGTTTCTCCCTTCAATTCTATTGGTGTTTGCTTTATGTATTTAAAAAAAAAAACAAACTCACTGCCATGGAGTTGGTTCCGACTCATAGTGACCCCTCCTTGGGTTTCCGAGGCCGTATCACTATGGAAGTGGATTGCCCAACCTTCCTTCCAAGGAGTGGCTGGTGGGCTTAGGTGCATATATATTTATGCTTGTTAAATCTTCTTGACACAATGTCCATCTTTATCTCTTCTGACAGATTTTTGCCTTAAAATCTACTTTATCTGATAGTAAGATTGCTATCCCAGTGCTCGTTTGAGCAGCATGTGTGCTAAAATTGGAATGATACAGAGCATGGCCCCTGCACAAGGATGATACACAAATTCATGAAGTGTTCTATTTTGGGGGTATGGGGGGGGAAATTGCCACCCTAGCTCTCTTTTAGTTACCATTTACATGGAATATTTTTTTTCCATCCTTTTACTTTCAGCCTATTTGTGCCTTTGGGTTTAAGTTGGGTCTCTTGTAAATAGCATGTAGTTAGATTGTGTTTGTTTTGTTGTTTTTTAAAATTCATTTTGCCACCCTCTGCCTTTTTTTTTTTTTTTTTTCTTTATTTCCTCAGTTTGAATGTTGATCCTCTGGTGTCCCATGGTCTATTGCTCTAAGTGATGTATTACCGTAGAGTATGTGGGTGTGGCATCCTGGATTGAGTGGTCTGCGTGTTAACTATTGGGCTCAGAGCCTACCCTGGGGGGTGAGTTTTATTCCAGGTGCAGAATGTATTCCAGGGCCATAGTATTGGGAGTCTCACCAGATTTCATCTGACTAGTAATTCTGGTCATTATTGAGTTTTTGGATTATGTTCCATGTTTTCCCTCCCACTCTGCCTTTTTTTTTTTTTGCCACTCTCTGCCTTTTGATTGAACCACTTAGTCCCGTTATATTCACTATAATTACTGATAAGATGTGAGTTACTTCTACCATTTTGTTATTTGTTTTTTGTTTATCTTAATCCATCTTTGTCCTTTAGTACTGCCTACTTTTGTGTTTTGTTGGTTTATTGTAGTGAGCCTCTTTGTTTCCCTTCTTTCCTATTATGTATATAACAACAACAACAACATTTTTTATATATATTTCGTAAGTGGGTACCATGAAAATTACATTTAAGAGCTTGTATTTATAACATTCTAGGATAGTTGTACCAATCTTAGTTTAGCAACATAAAAGAAATGCTATGTCTGTGCCATTCCTTGTATCCCCTTTTTTTGTTGTTGTTGTTGTCTCTATTTATGTCTTTGTATTTCATGTAACATAATTTTATCTTTGCCTTTTATATGTTTGTTTTTATATATTTGTTATAAAAAAACCCATCACTACCTTATTAGCCCTTTTGTTTGTCCATGTGTTTCCCTTTATTACAGATCTTTATTTTTTATGTATATCTTTTAATTACTTTCTAGCATCTTTTCCCTTACATTATAGGAGTCCCGGACAGAGCTCCTATAAGTATGTTTTTGTAAGGCTGGTCTGGTGGAAATGAATTCTCAGTTCTGTTTGTCTGGAAATGTTTTAAATTAACTCTCATTCTTGAAGGGTAGTTTCACTAGGTATAGTATTCTTCGTTGACAGCTTTTTTTTTTTTTTTCTTTCAGCACTTTAAATATATCATTACATTAACTTATTGCCTTCCATGTTTCTGTGGAAAAATCAGCACTTAATCTTATCGGAGATTCTTTGTGTGTAATTATTTGTTTCTCTCTCACTGTTTTCAGGATTCTCTCTTTATCTTTAATTTTGAGCACCTAAGGATAATACTTCTTGCTATAGGTCTCTTTGGGTTTAACCTGCTTCATGTCCTTTGAGCCTCTTGGATTTGTAGACTCATGTCTTTCATTAGATTGGGGAAATCTTTTTTTTCATTATTTCATGCAATATCCTTTCTGCCGTTTCTTGCTCTTATCTCCTGGAATTCCCATGATGTGTGTATTAGATCTCTTGTTGTCCCATAATTCCATTAGTATGTGCTCAGCCTTCTTGAGCCTTCATACTAATTTTTGTTCAGTGTCTTTAATTTTAACTATCTTCTAATTTGCTGATTCTTTCTTCTGCCTGATTAAATCTTTTGGTAAGTCCTTCTATTGTGTTTCTCATTTCAGTTACTGTCCCGTTCAGTTGTAATATCCCTTTCTTTTATAACCTCATTTTGTTCTTGCATTGTTTTCATTACTTCTTTTAGCGCTTGTCTGTATTTTCCCTTGGTTCTTTAATTATGTGTAATGTTGTATTATGCTCTTCCATTTTTTTTCATTATGTGTTTGTTCCTAGATGTGCTTTCTTTCCCTTTGTCATGTTCATTTGGATGGGCCGTTCTTTCTCTGTTCTTTGTCTGTCTTGTGATTTTTTTTTTTTTTTTTGGTGGTGCATAGCAATTTTTGAGAATGTTAACTTTCTCAATTTTCCCCAGTATTTGACATTTTTAGCTCCACTACTTTCTGCAAAAACTCTTAGCTGAGCAGAGCCTTTGGCCTTTGCTCACCATTTCCTCTCCTTCTCTGTGATAGCTTCTTCTCCCCTCTCAAACTCAATTGGGATTCAAAAGTTCCAGATCTCTTTTGCAACTTTCAGTCTCTCCCAAACATATCAGAGAACACATGGTATCTGTCCATCATGGGCATCACCACTTAGGCAAGATATCATGTACTAATCAATCTGTCTACCAGGGGTATAGTCTACTGTCTCTGGTTATTATTACCGTCCCATCTCTGTTTCTGCAATCATACTTTTAGTCAGAAAACTTGTACCTAGTGAGGCCCCTTCAGGGCTGGATGTTGCCCTTTGATTTTGCCCTCAGCTTCCTTTCCTGCTCTGTGTGGGCTGCTCCTATCTGAGCCGGCCTTCAGGGGGAGCACAGGCAGACTTTCTTCCATTTCTGGAGGAAGAGGGGCTAACACTCCTCAGAAGGATCTTTGAGAGATTAGTCTTGTTGGTTTCAGGGCCTCAGTGGTGCTTGTAGGAGCAATCTCTATTGCTCTAGCAATATCAATCTGGTATCCAGTGTACATAAATCCTGTTTTTACACATATACTAGGAGCTCTGGTAGCATAGTGGCTAAGACACTTGCCTGCTAACCAGACGGCTGGCGGTTCAAACCCACCAGCCACTCCTCGGAAGGAAGGTTGGACAATCCTACTTCCGTAGTGATACTGCCTCGGAAACCCAAGGAGGGGTCGCTATGAGTCGGGTTTGACTCGACGGCACATAACAACAACAGCAACACATATACTTTCCTGTGCTATTCAGAATGTTGCCTTCTTCTCTGATCAACTCTACTAAACCTCAAGACACTGTCCAGGTTTCAGTTCCCTTGCAGAGCTTTTTCTCATTACCATTTCTTTCCTTCATCAATAAGTAACTATTCTCTCTTCCATATCTTCTCTACATTATATGCACTTATATTACATTTTGTTTTGTATTGTGGGTCTTCTTTTTTTTGAAGGATTATAGGAGTATAAGTAGGGAGTGAAATAAAAATATATCCTTTAGTTTTCCTGTTTTGGAATAGTTCCTTTTAAATGATCTTAAATGACTTTAAAATGTATGAGCCTGATATAAAGTTAAATGTTAAAAGAAGATCACAAATGTCAATATGGATTTTTTGGCAAAAGATAAGTAAATATTAAGTTGTAATTTTTTATATAATTACATATACTTTGCATTTCAGATTTTGTTAGTGGAGCACTAAGTAAACTTAAATCTAACAGAACACCCTGTTTTACACCTCAACAAGAAAGAATCGGTAGGTATTATATGTTTATTTAAATTAAAATGTGTCTAATATTTTGCAGAATAATTACAATAATAATTACCCAACTTAATTTGATTTAATCAAATTCAAATATTTTCAATGGAGATGTTGTACTTTACTGTTTTGTGACATTACTGATAACGTATTGGATATAATGGACTAGGTAAGAATTTCTTTTAGTCTATTGTTATTATATCTTTAGTCTTCTTAATCATGCTTTCTGTTGCTTGTAATTTGGTTATTATTGAACATGTGAAAATAGCTCCAGTGGATTGTCTATCTTTATTTAGGTTCTACCTACAAACAAAGCGTATGCATTTAAACGCACACACAATTTCATTTTTGTTGTAGAACCAAGAGTTGAATTAGTATATACCAATTTTTATCCTAGTTTGCTTATGGCTGAAGTCTTCCAGCCCAATAGATGAACAGACTATATGTTTTTTATTTTATTTCCCATATTGAAGAATTAACTGAAGTTAATAATTGAGTTATGATGAAAGCAAAAATACTACTTAGATCAATTTTTGTTTTAACTCCTTAATTATAATTTTTCCTACATTAATATTCTTTAATTTGTAATTTATCATCTTAATTCTATCTAGTTTAAGTTACTACTGTTTCTTAAGGATCTTGCCTCTTTGTGTTGTCACTATTTTCATTTTAAGTAATTACATAATTTTAATTTAGTTGTATAACATATTTGATATTGTAAATAATGTCTACCCCCCCCCAAGCTATTATATAGAAGAAATTATATAAAATTTTTGTATTTTATCAACTCTGGGAGAAACAATAGTTTGTTTGTGTGTTAATTAATTTCAGCCCAGGTGTCTGTATCACCAGTGATTCTTACACCAAGTGCTAAGCGTAAACTGCCGGTAGATTCTTCTCATGGTTTCTCAAGTAAGAAAAGGAAGTCCATCAAGCACAATTTGAACTTTGAGCTGTTGCCAAGCAGTCTCTTCAGTAGCATTTCTACACCAGTATCAGGTAGTAAATGGAATTTATATAATTTGGTTATAAGCAGTGACACGGTGCCTATTCTAGGCAAAGTGCTATTTTAGATTAATACCATCCTTTAGGACCCAGAACTTTATCCATGTTTTATCAGATCTCTGAAATTTTGTGAGGTTTCCTATCCTTTAAAATGTCATTGTTGCTGTTGCGTGCCATCGAGTCTATTCCAAATCACAGCAATCCAATGTGACAGCGTAAAACTACTCCTCAGGATTTCCTAGGCTATAGCCTTTAGGGGAGCAGCTCACAGCATCTTCTTTCCCATGGAGTGGCTGGTGGGTTTGAACCACTGACCTTTTGGTTAGTAACTATTGCACCTCCAGGGCTCCTGTATATATTACAAAAAAAAAAAAAAAAACCGAACTCACTGCCATTGAGTTGATTGAACCCATAGCAACCCCTCCTTGGGTTTCCAAGGCAGTATCTCTGTGGAAGTACATTGACCAATCTTTCTTCCGAGGAGTGGCTGGTGGGTTTGAACCACCAGCCTTCTGGTTAGCAGTCAGATGCCTTAGGCACTATGCCATCAGAGCTCATTATTTTCACTGAAAAGGTTGGTGGTTCAAACCCACTAGCCACTCCACAGAAGCAAGACTAGGCAATCTACTTCCGTAAAGATTTACTGCCTCGGAAACCCAATGGGGGTTGGTATGACTTGATGGCAGTAGGTTTGGTTTTTGTATTTGGTTTTTTGTTTTTTTTTTTTTGGTTTATGTTCACTGAAGTCATAAAATAAGTGATGAGACATACTTAAGTCTGTCTGCCTCCAACGTTTGTTCTTCCTCCAAACTACAACAGTGCCCACCCTCACTTGTATTATTAAAAGAACTTAAAGCATAAGTCTTCAAAGTAATTCTTAATTTGACTTTTATTTGGCAATTAAAATGATAGATACTTTTTTTGTTGTTGTTGAGTTGGGTTGGATGGCATCGGAAACTTCTAACCAGAAATTATGTAATTTTGTGGTTGCTTGGGGAAGGAAAGTAGATTAAGCGTTTAAATCTTTAAATTGCTGCTATTAATAGTTTATGCTTTGATAATAAGAGTATGAATGATATTATTACATGTGGTTAATTTTATAGTTCACTTTGATACAAGCCCAGAAGTATCATCTCAGAGTTCACTGTCTCCTATAGCCATCAGTGGAAACCAGATCAGTACAGGTATCCAAAGGAGAAGTAAAAGAATTGCAGGCAAGAAAGTTTGCAGGTAATTTATCCAGGACATTTTGTTTTTATTGGGTAAATATTTTATGTATAGATATATAGGTATGTTGTTGTTGTTGTTGTTGTTATGTGCCGTCAAGTCGGCCCCGACTCATAGCGACCCCTCCTTGGGTTTCCGAGGCAGT